TTTTTTTGAAAAATGAGTGGTTGAAAAAGAAGGAAAAGTATTCGATTTACGTGTAAGATTATTTTATGGAAGATTGTGTGATTGAAAATAGGAGAGAGAAAAATGAAATGTAATGTAATGAAATTTAATGGGGGCCAGATGTCATGTATTTGATTTCAAGGTATATTTTCATACCACGAGTCCTAACAGTGTTTTGAATGACAATCATGCTTGGTGTATGCTTTGGTGTACACGTGTCAAACATGATGTACACTTTGGAGTGTACGAATAGCATTTCCCTTTGAATGATGGAACAAAAATTCACAGTTATTCCTGTCTGATACATTTCTGTAGAGCATGTGTGATTTGACATATACTGTTGAGCTCTATGGTTCAGGTTGAACCCTAATGTGGAATTCATATTGTTGCAAATTTTCTCAGACTAAAATTGATATGATTGGAGCAGCCTGTGAAAGTGCTGAGAAGATCATAGTCGATACTCGTAAAGCCTACTTTGGCTGGGGCCAACAATTTTTCATACTATGGTCAAGGTTCAAGCATAAAAAATACAAGAAGAAGAAAATTTGCTTTGGAGTGCTGTAAATCATGGTGAAGGAGGTTCATCTGTAACTTTTCATCTCTTATCAAGAAAATTTACCCCTTGTGATACGTCTTCACCCTATATTGATGCTTATGCAGGGTTAATATTACCTGGAGACTAAAGGCAGACAACATCTACCCTTCCAGTGCATTTGTTAGACATCTTCGCTGCCAATGATGGTCCACAGAATAATTCTGATACAATCTGGTACGACCTGTAGTCTTTGCTTCGACATTTTTCCTCCCCAAATCTGATCACAAATTTGTGAATCTGGAGACAATAATATGTTCTTTAACTTTAGGGATGTATCCGTAGAATACACCTCCGATTTTGTCCACCAGCAATAACAATGAGGGAAATTTGTTACAGATATAATTTTCAATCTTGCCATGTAAATTTAAAATTTGAAATATATGCTTTCAAGCTCCTAATGAAATTCAAATTTCTGTTGTGTTTGTTTAACGAATTAAACTCTTTTGCCACTTGGTTGACCTATTCTCATAGTGCTTGGGATTAGCTTGGGACCCACGTGAATTGAAAATGCCAAAAAAAATGCTTCCCTTCCCCTCTCATGTGAGTGTGCTGTCAGAGAGCATATCAAACCCTCGCTGGCAGCATAGCATGATTGTGACGCCCCAACTTTTAATTATATTTTCAAATCGAAAAAAATTCAATATTGATCGTTTTATGAATGAGGTAGCCCATGTCTAGCATTGTTGTCACATTAAGGTCTAAAGGTTAATATGATAAGTTAACCCATCTAGTTGCAAAAAAAAAAAAAAAAAAAAAAATTATTATTGTGTTAGTTATATAAATTTATCGTAACTTTTATTTAGGGTCGATTATTTAAAGATTATAGAAAATTTATAAAATATATCAATATTATACTTGTTATGTAGCTCGTGTTGAATAACATAAATTGGCTCAAGAAAAAATATTTTTAGGCTAGTTACACCGAAGTTGTGTTGATAAAAAGAAAGTATTCTAGATTTTATATTTTATTAATAAATAAAATGTAAATAATAATAAAATAATAGAATGAAACAGATTTTAGTCCGGTTACTTGGATTTGGAAAGGATATTATAACTTAAACATAATTAAGTCCCTTAATTTTGGTATTAATTGATATAATTAACCCATAAACTCTTAAACAAATACGTTTGGAATTAAATGGTGAATAGAAGTCGTTTGAAACTTAAAGTAGTTATTGTAGTCACGTTTTTGTGAATTATATACATGTATATAGAAGTTAGAATTTTCTTTCAGAACATAAACCTCATTTTCTAAGTTGATATATATATATTTTCAGATTTATTTTGTATCAAATCGAGGTAAGAATACATAGTGCAAGTGGTAAATTCTTATTCTTGATATTTATGTTAATTTGGCATGAAATACTATATTATGTTCTGAAAGAAAATTCTAACTTCTATATACATGTATATAATTCACAAAAACGTGACTACAATAACTACTTTAAGTTTCAAACGACTTCTATTCACCATTTAATTCCAAACGTATTTGTTTAAGAGTTTATGGGTTAATTATATCAATTAATACCAAAATTAAGGGACTTAATTATGTTTAAGTTATAATATCCTTTCCAAATCCAAGTAACCGGACTAAAATCTGTTTCATTCTATTATTTTATTATTATTTACATTTTATTTATTAATAAAATATAAAATCTAGAATACTTTCTTTTTATCAACACAACTTCGGTATAACTAGCCTAAAAATATTTTTTCTTGAGCCAATTTATGTTATTCAACACGAGCTACATAACAAGTATAATATTGATATATTTTTAGATTTATTTTGTATCAAATCGAGGTAAGAATACATGGTGCAAGTGGTAAATTCTTATTCTTGATATTTATGTTAATTTGGCATGAAATACTATAAGGCCTTCGGGGTCGAATTATATGTTAAATTCTTTGGGATGGACCGTCAGGTCAAAGAAAAGAAGTTAAATCTTACGGGATGGACCTTTGGGTCAATATGACCGTCAAGTCAAAGAAAAGAAGTTAAATCCTACGGGATGGACCTTTGGGTCAATATGATTAAGTCCTACGGGATATGAGAATTCTTAAGAAATTCCTTGAGCTTTTGGAATCACGACTAGTTTGCTCTAAATTTTAGACATGTCGGTATTTTATGTCATATTATGTTTATATCATGTTATAAGAATATGCACGTATTTTTACTGAATGTTTTCAAAATGCTCACTCTTACAATACTTTTCAAATTAGAACGGGTCGTGGGGACGAGTGGAAGATTGATCGGCGATGCTTATGGGGTCATCAAGTAAAGATTTTAGAAAAATAATCGTTAGATTCTATTTAAAAGAATATCATTATTTTAAATTTTTATGCATGGTATTTAATATTTGTTTTAGAGTACGAGCATTCGAAACTTTATGTTGAATTTTAATTTATAGTTTGAGATGAGATATTTCAAGATTTTATTTTAAATCATTATTTTGTTGTTATTGAATTATCGACTACATTTTGATCACTAAAATAAAAAATTATATTTCCGCTTAAATTAGAAAAAACTAATAAATTTGGTAGCACATCGAGCTCATTTTTATTTAAAAATAACAATAATAATGAAAAAGAGTTTGGGGGCGTTACAATGATTCTTGTCTAATGCATCTAATTTAGCTGTGTCATCCGTAATTGCCATATTTTAATGTGATATATTTTTGTTGTTCTATCTTCCTTTCAAAATAAGAAAAAGTTATTATTTCATTAATGTCAAATATTTAACTGGCTTATTTCCAACTTTGAACAATAAAATGATAATAATTTTTTTTTTAAAAAATAAAAATTACTTTTTAGTAGACCCTATAAGCTTAAGCAAACATACTTCTTGTTTTGTGCCTTACCCCATGGTTTTTATGATAGGCTTCTGGAGCACAACTTCTTGGGAGAGCAGTGGCTTCCTTCGACAACGCAACGGCATCTCCTCTGAAATATGCCAATTCACCGAGATCCGGTGCAAACATGATGAACGCCGTCTCCTCAGCAGCATCACACCAGCAACTGCAGTAGCAAAGGCAGAAAATAATGCAATTGCCTCAGCATCCACAGCTCCTGACCCAACAGCATTTTACGCAATATTCAGTGACTAACATGGGACATGTATTTTTTGGACCGACTTGTAATGATCGGAGGTTTCAATCCATTTCATTTAAACTTACTACTTTGTTTTGTGTAGATACTGATGTCTCTGGTCATTAAATTTCCTCAATATCTGCATCTTATGTTGAAGCAAGAAAATTCTCTCTGCTATACCTACTCACTGTGGGACTGCACAATTTCCTTTTCCATTCGATTAGAATAGATTGCTCTTTTGTATCGGATGCTGGCACACGACCCCACCTCCACACCCAAGACGAGAACTTTTGGCCACCATGACAGAATTCATAGCTAGTGCCATGTGATATTCGAGCGACGGTGAAAAGAAGTTGTTAATGTCTATGACTGACTTTCGAAGACAATCCTGGACTTGCTCTTCAAAATGCTCCGAGAAATTGCTTTGCGCTTATGAGGGTGTATGTGCACATTTATGCTTGCTTATCATGAGATAATGTCATATGGCATGCTCCAGAAACTGCTTTGCGCTTATGTGCGTGTATGTGCACATTTATGCATGCTTATCGTGAGATAATATCATGTGGCATTGTTTTCCTTGTTTCTGGGCGTGTTATGCTGTTTTGGTTCAATCTTTTCCTCGGTTTACACTACCAGTTTTTTATTTTACCGTATGAGTGACTTTAGCAGATACATTTCAGTAAATATTGTCTTGTAGGTTTCTTTCACAGCAACCTAAAATTATCACACACTGTTTTCACCAGAACCAACTCCTCAGCTGCATGATATGCAGGCTCAGGGACGACAAGAGTTTCAGCAGGCAACATCACATGTAAACCTTCTAAAGCTAATATTACTCCACTTCGTAAATATTGTGTGATGAAAATCAGGACATTTGTCACGAGAGGCAACATGAGTTGTGTCTTGAGATCAATAATGTCAGTGCAAGAATGTTCTTGAAAGATGAGAAATCAAGCTTGTAACGTGTTTTTGTCATAATTTTTCAAAAATTGAGTACTGAAACATTTGGGGACATGTTGATTTAAGTACGATGAAGTCAAGACTTCGCCAAAGAAATATAAAAATAAAATATCAAAAAATTCATTTAGTGAATATAAAAAATAAAAAAATACAACATTAACTTTGCACAATTTTCCAGACCTTATTGTGTCTTTAGCCAAATATTCTAATAACTAAAGTTCTAATTCCGAATTTTACAGAATTGTATCTGTTGAGTCTGTGAATTTCTAGAGATATCAAACGGGTCAAACGGTTCGTCGGTTCGTGGGTGACGAGCCCGAGCCTGAGCAGGGAGTAGGCTTGGCTCGTCAAGTACACGAGCGGCTCGTGGGCCTTGTGCCCACGAGCTCGTCCAAAAATA